CGTCGCGCCGCCGCCCCGCTGAGGGGAGCCTGGGGCCCTCACAGCCCCGTGGGAGCGAGCCCGGGAGCCGGGCAGGGGATGCTGGGAACGGGGTGCCGGGGACAGGCATTCCTCGGCTTCAGGGGACGGGAGAGGGCGCCATGTTCTTGAATCGCGTCCATGGGTATCGGGATTTAGGCAGGTGCCCGCTCAGACGAAGTCGTGCCCTGCAGTGCGTGGCTTGAGGGCGCTTCCCTGTTGCCTCCGTCCCCGGCAGGACGGGGAGGCGGCGGGATGAGGGGACACAGTGAGCCCCGGAGCTGGAGGCTGTGTGAGGAAGGTGCTGCTGCTCGGATGCCTGCATCCGCTGCCTGTTTTCCTGCTGCTTCAGTGTCTCACCTGGAAAAAATTCTGGCTGCATATGACTTCGTAGCCTGACATTTTAATTCCTGACGCTGGGAGGAAGGAACGCGCAGAAGTAACGCAACCGTTGCTGCTCTGGAAACTATTGAAATATATAACTGCTTTTTGATATTCATCAAAAAGAAAACAAATTATGTGAAATAAAAGTTTAATCTTTTAATCTCTCACATTTTTTTTATGTAAAATCTAATTTTTCAGAATACAAATTACTTCGATTACTCATGTAAGCAAAGGATTGATGTGATTTAGATTTGATTATACTCTTAAAAATAATGGTTAAATTTTTAAGCATCTGTAAGTCATGTGGAATAAAAAGGGCTTTTAAAAACGTGGAAATTTACTGTCCCGTGCCCTGACTCTCAGCCAGTGGCAGACCACCTTATCACATATTCTGTCATTATTACTTCCATCAGTCAAAGCTTTATCAGCCATGAACCAGAAAGAGAAAAGTCTGTAATTTGACCATAAAACCTGCTGAGGTGGAAAATATTTGCTTAACTGTCATATAATGCGTGGGTTGAGAAAATGGATGTTATGTAGCTGGGTTACCAATGGTGTCAAGTGAAATTCTGTACTCCTCGCTACCTCTGACAAATTAAGACAACCCATACTATTTCACTCTTTAGAACAGGAAAAGCTGAAATCCTGAAATACAACATGCCATTAAGTTTTGGGTTGAGCCATCTGAACACAGTGTGCTCTTTCGGGGAATAAGCTGGCCCTCTGTAAGCAAACCTTCTGCCAAAGGGCATTTCACCTGAGTAATGGCTGTAAATTAATCCTGTTTGATTGGACTCGAGAGAACTGGAAGTTCCCAGGAAGGTCTCCCTCCACCTTTCCACCTTCTCCTGCCCAGAGGGACAACAGGCCTTTCAAACTGGATGGTTTTCTGTGACCTCTTGGTGTTCATTTTGAAGGAAATATTATTAGGATTTTTTGTTTGATAGGTAAGTAGGGTCTAGTGGCTTGAGTTCACCATGACTCATGACTTGATGTCAGGGTGTTTTGTGTGCATCTGTGCTCTGGAACTTCAAATCTTTCATCACAAGGTGCAGAAGTGGGGAATGAGGTCAAAGGTGTCAATCTCCTCTTGAAATAAGGGGGGTGATACCCTTTTTAAACTTGCCTGGTTTTCATATCCAGCTTTTGTTGCCAGCTCCTCCATCCTGACAGCAGCTGGGGAACAGCACAAGAGGTTTTTTTTCCCAGCACTGGTCAGCATCTCCTCACCTCTGAGGAGAGTGGTTTCCCTGTTACATCAACTGCTCTCCCAACAGTAGCTGACAGCAGTAATCTGCATTATATGGGATTAAACAGGCACAGTAATTAACTTGCATAAGCGCTTTAGCAACTTTTGGCCTTTGAATTGCAGCCTGTCCTGTGTGTGTGGTGTAGGGCCTCTATAGGCTGGGTACAGCACGGGGGGAAGTTGGGGAGAAGCAAAGAAAGATGAAATTTCACTTGGAAACAGTGAGCAGGAGCACACAGGGTCACAATGAAATAGCTGTTGACATTTTTTCAGGAGTCAAGGTGTGCTTACAGGTATCGAAAAAAAATCTTACAGGTATTGAAAAGGCAGGATGTATCCACTGCTTTCACTGAATCCACACAACTATGGAAGAAATGTCTCTATTTCTAGTCCCATGTTGTGCTATTCCTATGTGAGAAGTGAAACTGTATCTAGGAATTTTTTCCTTCAGTTTTATAGTTTTTACTCATCAGGAGTCATACCTTTAACTAATTCTTACTGCTTTGCTTGGGAGATTCAGTTCAAATATGCAACCCTAAGCTGAACCAAAATGTAGGTACATCCATAATCTCCACTGTCCTTGAGTGCTGGATTCTTGTCAATGACCAAGTGTTTGTAGACTTTAAGGCATCCATCTCAAGAAACACTACAGAAATAAGTCCAAAGTATTGTGTCTTTTTTCTTCACTCTTAAATATATCTGATGCAGCCAATTCAGATCTGCTTTGAATCAGAGGAACAGCAGGGAAGGCTGAAATGTGTTGGCCTGTAGCAATTTCTTTTTCTTTGAAAACATATGGTGCCAGGGAAAAGGTCTCAAAGTCAGCAGGAAAACTTGAGAAGATTTCACTTTCCCACTATACAGTGTGTTATCCTGGGTCTCATGTGAGAAGCTTGTTTTACTTTTACATGAGACTAAAGTGAGGAGTCACCAGCAGGTCAGCTGAAATTGCTACACCTTGAGGAAAAAGGGTTGATCCTCTGAGATGATCAGTCTGACTCGAAGACCATGTGGGTTTCTTGTTTGTTTGACTTGCAGACCCAGGGTCCTCCTGCAAACCTCACAGGAATGTGTTTTCAAGACCTTTTTGCCTTTCTGGGTGTGTTGTCTTCAGACATTTCAGAGCAAAGCACTGCAGATTTTTTCATCACCCAGATAGTCCCACAGGAGTGCAGATGTCGTAGGAACTATTGAGAAATGTGCACTGCTGAAGTAAACAGAGCCCATAGGTATGATGGACCTCAGAGCAGTGTCACAAACCCTGTGGGCATGAAGCACCTCAGAGAGGCACTGAGTCCTGAAAACCTGTAGTGACCTTGGGAGAAGTTACTGCCAATGAATTCCGCTTACAGGTGCTGATGGTGCAATAATTTGCCTGAGGCATGTGAAAGCAAATACAAAAGGGAAAATTGTCCTCAATCCTATCAACCAGCTAACAGTAGGTCCGGCCCAGTAGTCTAAACACAGTCTAGCCTAGAAGTCAGGACAATGGGCTGTCAAACAGGGAACAGGTTGACAAAGGACTAACCATTTTGTAATACATCAGAGTTCACTAACTGGTTGCCTTGGGATCAGGAACGAGCCCTCATGCTCTGTGCCTGGGTTAAATTCTATGGCACAGCATGATTGCTGCTTCCCAGGTATCTATTGCTGCAAAGTGCTGGGAGTTTATGGCCAGATCCCAAATCCTGCTGGCACTCACTGGCAGGAAGGGCTGTGTCATGGATGCTTCC